CCCCAAAACCCCAAAACCCCAAAACCCCAAAACCCCAAAACCCCAAGCCAAATTTTATATATTGATTTAAATAATATGAAACCTCAGGGAACTTTTACAATTGTTGGAGCAGTCAAAATAATTGGTAAAGCTATTCTAGTGTTTCCCAAGTTGTGTTAAAACATGTTTTTAGTTTTATATTCTTCTAGGGTATTTTACTAAATTCCTTACTTTAAAATATAGATGGGCTTTTCCTCGGTGATGAATTTGCAGCACAGGACTTAGAATTTTTAATCAGCAATAAGGTAAACAACGTGATTAACTGTTGTGGAGGACAGATCGACAACTTATGGGTAAATATTGGTATAAATTACCTTACTTTCAATTGGTCTCAGGAGTGAGTTGAGACCATTCTAGATCCGAATGATGTAGTCATGCAACAAATATATCCTTACATTGAAGAATGAGTGTCTAATTCCGAAAGCATCCTCGTTCACTCAGTGACTGGGATGAACAGATCTGTTCTAGTTATATCTGCATATTTAATGAAATAAATACCATTGGTCCCTGAAGAAATCGCTTGAGTTTATCAAAACCCGCAAGCCTAGTTTGGAAATTAAGAGTGAGATCTTAGAGCAACTGGTTCATTATGAAGCTTTCTTGCACAGCAATGTTATTAAAAACCCATCCTTTCATTGGAACGAGGACAGATATGAGCCAAAGAACATTGTTGAAAAACTATCCACTGTCGATAACCTACAGAACGAGGAGTTCATGCTTCGCAATACTTATCTTAACTCCCTTGCTGCAGCTCAAGTAACTGATAAATAAGAAGGGACTCAAGAAGAAGCATACTGTTAAATGGCAAGATAAAGGATTGAATATTAAAGCTCAGCTTGAGGAAGTTCATGAGAAAATAGAACCCTCTAGTGAAACGAAGGTATACCCAGTCACGGCACATATTGGAATAACTTCTGACAATCTCAAGTCAGCTATTAAGTCAGAAACTCCGCCTCCCATTAGTAAAGCTCGAGTAATAATTTTAGAAACTGAGATGAAAAAGATCCAAGAGAAGCCTAAGGTAAAGAAAACCCTGAAGGAAGAACAAAAATCAATCACTCTCAACACTTTTGAGATGGAAGAAGATTCCAAAGGTAATTTATCATTTAAAGTGAGTAGAAAGTTCTTCCTCAGCCCAAAATCCCAAAAACTTAGATACTGTAGGGCCTGAGGCTAAGAAACAACTTGAAAAGGATGACCCATTGAATGAAGTAATAAGCCTCGATACTTTAAATGAGTACAGTGATATTTCAAATAAGTATGAACCTGTACTGAAGTTTAGAAACTCACAAGTTGTTAATACACCAAATGAGAATGTCTCAAAGATTCCTGCAGTGCAAAATTTCCTTGAAGAAAAGCCTGCTGTGGAGGTCAATAAAGTTGATTTTCATCAAGTAATTTTTTGGGAAAATAATGTTTTAGAAAGTACATAAACCCACGAGTCCAAAATTGAGCCAGAAAAATAGAGTAAAAGATGACCTTGACTCTGGAATTTACAATGCTCTGGCTAAGGAACCTAAAATAAATACATCATCTAAGGGTGAGCTATTTGTGTTAATGAACTAGAACAAATCAAGCACCAGAAACAGCTATCTGAGAGCTCATTCAGGATCAAGGAAAAAAAGAAGAAATCTCTGAATTATAAAATGCGAAGAGATAAGCAGTCTCATAATCCGGCTTACAGTCATGATTATGAAAGTAAGCTTAATTTGAGTGAGCAAGAGAGTGGTCCATACCAGAAGAAAGGTACTTGTAGGAGTTTAAGTCTAGACATCTCAGTAAAAGATTTGAAAAATAGTCAATCTCAGGGTAAGCTACCGCTTGCTAACTCTGGAGATGCCAAAGGGACGATCATATTTAACCCGACGATAATCAACTCGATTACTGTAATATTCGAGAATCATTTCTAGATTGGAGTATTACCCAATGGAAACCAAGCCGTTCAGAATACCCAGGGTAAACTCAAGGCTAAACCTATAGAGCCGTCCAGAATTGTAAAAACTACTGGATTACAAAGTGAAGGGAAGATATTAAAGAAAAACAGGCATAAAATGAACAGGCTTCCTTCTGCTAGGACAGCTAAAGATACACACTTCTTTGTCCCACAAACAAAGTTGCCAACAGCCAGGGCTTCGAATAGTTTGAAAAGGAAAAGAAAGATGTTCGAGAGTAACCTCTTGTTGATTTTTAGGTAAAGAATCGCTTAAGAATGATAAAAGAGCATCAGAAAGCAGGGCTGAGAATAAGGAGACACTCAAGTAACTTCAATATTCACCCAAAATAGTCGGAAAATCATCAAGAGCAAGCGCCAATACTCCTTGAATTCGATTAACATCAAGAGTCAGAGATTTGGAGGAAAGGCACCCCCTGAAATGGAGAACCAAAACAAGGGTCATAGTTGGTTCAACTGTACATTTAAGTGTCATTAACCTTCTAGACCAACAGAAAAGCAGAGAAAAGTTGATAAACATTAAGAATTTTAAGAATAATATGATTTTCAGACGGAATGGGACTACCCCGACATATAAGACCAAGATCACCTTCAACAGACAAGGAAGTAAGGAACCCCTCAAAGATTTAGGCGGAAGCCAGAAGAGGTTTTCAAAACCCAGGGTTAACTCAGGGACGCAATACTCCAAGTGGAAGAATAATCTAGGAGGTAGCTTCCCTGCTAAGAAGACTCAGAAAAAGACTTTCACTAATATGATAGGGGAGAAGCATCGTCCCTTCAGTGCTTCACAATTTAAGAGAAATGTTTCAAGTCGGCCAAGAGATAGATCTGAAGATGTTCATAAGAGAATTCCAGGGGAGAGACAGAAGAGAATGAATGCTCGGAAACCTGGAAGTGCTAGGATAAAGGATAATAGAGGGTAAGGACTTGTTCATTATACTATAGACAACCCAGAGTTCAAGTTTTCTCATTAGGACACATCAAGAAATAATTCAAAATTATCAGGAAACACAATAATACAAATTCAACCTTACTTGCACTGCATGGGGTTTTGGGGTTTTGGGGTTTTGGGGTTTTGGGG